AAAGGAAGAACTACCGTTTTATCATGAAATTATTTTGTAGCAAAAATAGTTTAAAAATGTATATATATATATATATATAGTTAAGTAAAATTATTTTACTACATGAAAATCATTAAACTGTATCTCTCTTGTCCAAACTATGTTAACTTACAATATAATTGAACATAGATGGACGTGTTGTTTCCCAGCATGCAAGGATCTAACTGCAACATTAAAGAATCTACTAAACAACTATATTGGGAGGGGAAAAAAACAATACACCATGAGATCAAGGATCAGGGTCAAATACGTTCCCACAAACAAAACAAAGCGCATAGTAGTTTATGCATGAACTCTGAGTATTAATAGCTAATAAAAAATATTTTACTTTACACATTAATACCTGCAGGTAATTAGCAAAAACCTAATGACAAAGGTATACAAGATCGCATAAATAAATCTACTATGCAGTCAAGATTGAGGAAAAGTTCAGTCATATTCGAAGATATGGACTTCTTTTACTAACTTAAACTATGATACAAAAATTTAAAGAGGAAAAATATGCTTGCCTCATCCAAAGAACTCTGAAAAGGAAAGAAAACCCTATCCTATCCGTTCCTTTCCAAACTCCCGATGTCCTCTCTATATTCTTCTTCTTTTTCTTTTTTTTCAATATGGGTTGGGGCGGGAATGATAGAGGAGAGGGAATTGGTTTTTAAGAGAAAATTTTGATAAGAATATCTCTAAGATCAAGAGTCTTTTAGCTAAATCTTGTAAACGTGGAGAGGTGATTATGAGATACCGTCGACCTTCTCTCTATTCATGGGAGAAGAAAAGGGGAATTGCATGAAATTAGTTAGGTTAGATAAGATTTGGTTGGTTTGAAATAAAAACATCTATGTGTTGGCTACAAAGCTAAATGACCCATCAGCCAAGTCTGCCTTCAGAGAGGAAAAAAGTTCCATGTAGACATTCCTAGCTACTAGCTTAGCCCAATAATCATATACCCAAACACGTTATTACATATTACCCACCAAAAAAATATAATAAAATTCATTTTCAAAACTTTATCCAAGTATAAGAAGAACCTAATGTTACCTGTAGCAAAGAGATGTGGGTCTCATCTCGCACATGTCGTTGAAGCTATGATACGTGAAACACATCATGTAATCCCGCTAATATTAGATGTAGTGCTAGTCTATATGTCATCTCTCCTACTCTCTCCAATACCTTGAATGGACCGATGAAACGTGGACTACTGCTCACGATTACTAAATCTGATAACTCCTATGGTGGAGATATCCTCAAGAAGACATGCTCTATAATTTGGAATTATAAAGGTCTCCTCTTAATAGCAGCCTAGCTTTTCTGCCTATCCTGAGCTGACTTAAGTCGATCTTGTATCGTCTTTATCTTCTCTACTGTCTGCACTATCATCTCAGGCCCTAGCTGACGCCGCTCTCCCACATCATCCTAACATGTAGGAGATCTACATTTTCTCCCATATAAAGCATGCCATCTGGATGCTAGCCTAGTTCCTGTTATTATAACAAAACTCCACCAAATGTAAGTGGTCTTTCCAAGAGCCCTTAAAATCTAGCATGCATGCCTGTAACATGTCAGAATCTGTATAGTGCTCTTATTGTCCATCTGTTTGAGGGTGGTAAGCTGTGCTGTAACTCAGTCTAGTCGCAAGATATTACTGTAAGCTCCTCTAAAAATGTGATAAAAATCGAGTGTCTATTGGATGCATGCTAACTGGTATCCTATACAAGCGTACTATCTCCTTCATGTACAACTTCGCTAAACACTCCGTTGTCTTTCCAATCCGAAATGGTATGAAGCGAACCGACTTGGTAAGTTGGTATACTACTATCAATACGATGTTGTTTCCCTTCTAGCTCCTCGGTAGGGTTGTGACAAAGTCCATTGTAATATGTTCCTACTTCCACTAAGGAGTGGGAAGATGCTACTATAACCCGACAGTTTTCTAATGCTTAGCATTCAACTACTAACATACTAGGCATTTTGACACAAATCATGCTATTTCCATCTTCATTCCTAGCCATTATTAATGCTCTCTCAAGTACCGATGCATCTTTGCCCCTGGGTGAATAAAAAGCACAGAACTGTGTGCCTCCTCTAGTAATTTTTTCCTGACATCGCCCTTAGGCACACAATCTACCATCTTTAGCAGTACAATCTCCTCTATCGGAAAACTCTAACGTGCACGACCATATTGGGGATGAATACCCTTGAGTAAGCAGCCGAAAACTACAACAAAGTATTTAAGGGAAGGAGAGAAAAGGTGAGTTTTTTTCTGTATCTTTTTTATTCCCTCATGAAGCCTCTTTTATAAGGGGAAAAAGACCTGATATGAAGAAACGGAAAGAGATATTGTAGCCTAAGAATTTCTCATGTTCCTGAGAACGTGAGAGCTAATTTTAAT